CTGAGCTAAATCCCCAGCCCCTTAAGGAAAATTGTTTTCCATTCTTTGATTTTGAGTCTATGAATTTATTTTGTGTTAAATATGCTTCTTACATAGAACATATTGTTGGATCTTGTCTCTTGATGTACTCTGCCAGTCTATTCTTTTGACTGTTGAATTGAGGCCATTTACATTGATGGTTATAACTGATATGTATTGGCTTATCTTTGTCCTGGTATTTTCCTGCTGTTGGTTCCCTGCTTTTCCCTTCTGCTTAATTGCTTGCCCTGCCTGGTGATTTCTTTGTGTTGCTGTTCTTGGAATTGTGATCATTTTTATCTGTCTAGAATATCTTTTACTACTCTTTGTAGCATTCATTAGGTCTTCATAAATCTCTTCAGTTGTTCTTCATCATGGAAGTATCTTAGTTCTCCACTAATTTTGCAAGGTAGTTTTTCAGGGTACAACAGTCTGGGCTGGATGTTGTTGTCTTTCAGGATGTGAAATGCTTCACTGCAGATTATTCTTGGCTTGAGGGTTTGTGTTGCGAAGTCTGCCATGATTCTGATGGGCTTTCCTTTGTAGGAGATCCATTTCATTCCTCTAACATCTTTTAACATTCTGTTCTTGTGCTGAATTTTTGGAATGCTGATTATTATGTGTCTTGGTATAGTTTTATTGTCATCATAGGTGTTTGCACTTCTAAATGTTTCATTTATTTGTATGTCAAATTCTTTATCCACTCAGGAAATTTTCGGCCATTATTGCTGTGAAGAGATTTTAATGTTATTTGTGCTGTCTCCAGCTTTCTCAATGACCCAATCAATCTTATGTTATCCTTCTTTGCTTCATCTTGTAGCTGTTGGATTGATTTTTCATGTTGTCTTGCTATTTTTAAGATGTCTTTGTTTTCCTTATCATTAGCTTCTATTCTGTATTCCAGATCTGAAATCCTATCCCTCCTTCACTCAACCTGTTGCATATACTTTCAAAGGAGGTTTTAATCTCTTGGAGTTCTGTTTGGATCTGTTCCATGGATTCCATTTCCTTTCTATGCTGGGCATTTTTTGTTTCCTTTGTTTTTCTAAGGACATCTATACTTTTATCTGTGTCTTCTGTAATATCTTTGATTTTAATAATTATTTTATCCTTAGTCTTTTCCATTTGTTTTCTCACTTCTGCTGCTATCATTTCAGAAACTTCCAGTGTTTGACTTCCAGTTTCATCTATCTCTGTGAGTTCTGGGCTTCTTTTGGGTGGGCTGGAGTTCTGGGGTTGCATTTTGCTTGTGTGCCTAGTCATTTTCTATTTTCTCTTTTTTTTTGTTTTCTATGTTGATTCTTGCCAGTTTCTTATGATATGTAGCTTTATCACTAGTATTTAGGTTTCCCTATAGGGGGTCTGTTCTTCAGGGATGTCTTCTAGATGTAGGTGGTTTCTCACAGCTACCCTAAGGCCCTAGCTTCCCAGTTTGTAAAGGGTGCAAGATTATTAATTGGCTCAGTTCCTAATGCTTTGGTACTAGGCTATGGTGGTGATTATGACCTCATACAATCACAATGTTGTCATACAGGGTAGGAAAACTGTTTATAACATGTATGACATCCTAGCTAAAGTAGTACAGTTAGTAATAACAATAGTTTCAAGTGCAACTGAACTATTTATAAAATATGGTAACCTTTAATCTGTTACCTCTGACCATAGGAATAAACTCTAAAATTATGTAATAAAACCAAACTTATACTGTGCACTTGTATGCAGTGATTTTCCCCTTAGCTGGGTAATTTTACTCTTCTTTCAGGAGCAGGGGTTAAGATGGTTAAGGGATAGGGCAAAGTGATGAGTGAAGTCAAATATAGTAGAGTTAAGGCTAGAAGTAAAGGGATGATCATCCAAGTTTTGGGAAACTGGAGGACACAGGAGGGAAAGAATGAAAGAGAATACAAAGGAATAGTCAGAAAGGGCAGAGACAATGTTTACTCATTTGAAAGTTGAAATTCAAGAAGTAGTTGAGGAAAGAGACAAAGCAAGTCTATAGAAGAGTCTGAAAAAGTTAAGAAACCTAAACATTGAGAAAAAGAACAGAAAAAGAGAAAGAGAACAAAAATGAAGTGGAGAAAAATGAAAGAAAAAGGAGATAAGAGAAAGGGATGAGAGAAAAATAGAGAAAGAAAAAATAAAAACTCCAAATACAAAAATAACTACTGAATACAGAAGAAAACAAGATGCCATCCAATCAGACAGGAGAGGGATATCCAATCAGAGAAACAAGGGAGAATGAAAGTAGTGAAATACCTCTGGTGTTTACATTTCTGTGGCAGTGTCCATATTTAATCCCAGAAATGTGTTGGATATGGAGCCGATCTTGTCCCCTGGATGTGGGTGCTGGGACTTGTCTTCTGCTGGTGGAGTTCTTCAGATTCCAAGCGCTGGCTTCTCACTGCTGCATCAGACACTTTGATGCTGCTGTCTTGTCAATTACTCTGCCCTCCAAGGGCGTGTGTGTACCCGTGAACCTGGGACACGGCTGTTGTCCTGGGTCTAATGTCTTGGGATTCTTGTCAGCCTACTTCACAAAGGCATGTGTCCTTACACTCTTCTCAAACACCTCTCCATCCCCAAGACAATGGAGGAAATGCAGGGTGCAGACTCACTCAGCTCACAGGCCCCACTGTCCCACAGAAAGAACAGAGGAATGCTGGGAATAGATTCCCATCTCAATTATTTATAAGCCCCTTTCCCTTGCTCCTTCCATCATCTGGTCGTCTTCTCTTTTACAAATGCTCCATGTTTCCTATCATCTCTTTTATTTTGATCTTTATTTATACTGTGAATTCCTTATGTAAGAGAACCCGTGTTATTTGTAAGCTTTGTGTCTGATTTACTTCAGTTGACATCATGGTCCCCAGGGGTATCCCTCTTTCTACTAAGCCCTTAAGTTTATCTTTCTTTAAAGATGATGAAGTAGTACTCAATTGTGTATAAATACATTTTCTTTGTGCATTCATTCATGACGGATTTATAGGCCGCTTCCAGGATTGAACTATAATGAGCTTTGATGCTACAAACATGGGTGTGCTTACATCCCTGTAATGTGATGTTTCTAATTCATCTTTTGCTTTTAGACTCAACAGGTGGGCCATGACTTTATAATGTGGGGAATCAGACACTTCTGAAGGGATTCTTGCTCCTGAGACTGACAGACAACAGGGCATGGCTGGGGCCACAGGCCACCCTCTTCTCCCTGGTCTACCTGGTGGCCACACTGAAGAATCTGACCATCATCCTTCTTATCATTCTTGATCACCACCTCCACACCCCGACCTACTACTTCCTCAGGCATTTGCCCTGCTTGGACCTGAGTCTCATCTCCACTATAGTTCCAAAATCCATTCTCAAGTCCATCACCCTCAGTGACCACATCTCTTTGTTGGGGTACTTCTATCAGCTCTTCTTGGTGGTCCTGTTAGCAGGGTTAGAAGTGGGAATCCTGACCACCATGTCTTATGATCACTATGTCGCCATCTGCCACCCTCTGCACTACAAGGCTGTCATGAGCAAAGGGTGTTGTGTCCAGTTGGTGACTGTGTCCTGGCTCAGTGGAGTGGCCTTTGGAATCTTCAACTCAGTTGGGACATTCTCCCTGGGGTTCTGTGGCTCCAACAGGATCCACCAGTTTTTCTGTGATGTCCCTTCTCTACTAAATGTTGGTTGTTCTGAGGATCATGCCATGATGAATGTCAATGTGGCCCTTGTTTGCATGTTTGATTTGCATCATGGTCTCCTATGTATGTATTTTCTCTGCCATGCTGAAGAGCTCATCCAGGCAGAGCTGGTCCAAAGCCTTCTCTACCTTCATGTCCCACCTCGTGTTTGTGGTTACTGTTCTCCTAATTGGTGCTGTTGCTTATCTGAAGCCACATCCAGTGCTTCTCCTATTCTAGACTTGCTGTACTCTGTGTTCTACTCATGGTACCCCCAACCTTGAACCTTGTTATCTACTGTCTCAGAAACAGTGACATTAAGTCAGCTCTAAGTAAAGCCCTGAACAATGTGAGAAGCAGACTAACACAGAGATGACAACGTTTGAAACAAGGCAGCACATTCCCTTCCTTGTCCCTCCCCTTGCCGGCTGTTGGGATGATTCCTCTTTTGAGGTCAATATACCTTTTGGTATTTTAGTGCTGATCTCCAGACAAACTACTTATAAAAACTACACTGGAGAGTGAAGACATTGTTTTGTCATTATGACTGCAATGGTCACAATTTCTAGCTAGAGATCCCAGATAAATCATGAAGCAAAACAGGCCTTGCAATACTTGGAGCACTCTCGAACTTGAGATGTCTATCAGAAGGAGTTCTCTGATCATGGAGCAGTTGTCTATTTTGCTAATATTGTGCATTCTCTCTGGGGTCACAGTCTGAAGTAGTAAGATCATGCTAAGGACCAAAGAATGTACATCTACTGACATAAATGCACAGATTCAACTTGGACCTCAGGAGAAAAGAAATGGGCAAAAGTAGCATTTTTATAAATGCCAGTGAAACAGACCATGTTACTTAAATTTGTATAAACCTGAGTTCTCTGTCTCCCAAAATTGTTGGACAAAATTAGGAAAGTAGGAGAGTGTTTATTGGGAATAATAAGAAGAGAAAAGCTTTTGTACACCTAAATGGGGGCAAAGTCCAATCATTCTTTGTGTGGGTTAAAGGGGATGAGCTCAACAAAGAGAACTGGTTATCTTGGATGTCTGCAAGTCTGGAGATAGGAAGGACTGTAAAATCTAATGTAGCATGTCCTGGATGAGAGCATTTGTACCGCCTCAGTTTCAAGTTCCTAGTTAGAAGTCAAGTGGTGGTTACTGACTAGTTAAATATTCATTTGATTCAGCATGTTAAATATTTATTTATTTTTATTTCAAGGGGAACAGAAGACAAAATAGCAACAACCAGGACAAAAACAAAATGCAAAAATAATAAAAATGATACAGAATGTCAAAACAAGTTGATAAGTTAACAACGGTTGTTATATTACATATTGTTATCTTCAATGAAGTTGCTCAGATTACTAGATGTAACAATGCAGGATTGATCAAACAAAGAGAATGAATATATTAAAACTCAGCAATGATACAGAGTTTCACTAATCAAGGTAGTAGGTATTCAACAGTGGTTGTTATATTGCATATTGTTGTCTTCAAATTTGTTGTTCAAATTACCAGATATAATCATGCAAGACTGGTAAGAAAAAGAAAAATTTAAGCATTAATTGTTCCTTTCAATAGACCAATAGACATCAGCAGTACAATTATCCCAGCTATCCTTGTATATCCATATACATGTGTTTTTCTTTTTTCTTTTCTCCTTTCCCTCATCACAGTTGTTCCTTCCCTTTGAGCAACTTCTTTCCCTTTCAAGATATCTTTTGTACCTTTCACGTTTTATTCACTTGTTCAGGTTCTTACACTAGGGAGACAATATGATGTTTACACATGTGGGTCTGACTTATTTCATTTATGAGTATGGTCTCTAGTTGCATCCATTTTCCTGTAAAAGCTTCAGTGTCCCAGTGTTCCAACTCCCTCATCCTTATAGTCTCTGAATTAATGTTAGTAAAATAAAGACTCAAAAAAAAAAAAAAGACTCTACATGCCTATTACATTGTCAGTAGAGTTCTTCATGTCCACAGGAAGCATCACAAATGCAATGACTGAAGATTAAATCTCAAGTGCATAGTATTAGTACAGATAGCAGTACTGGGTCTGGAAGACCACTCACTCTAACCCCTTGACTTTGGGCAGCACCCTAGAGCCAATCCTCCTTCCACTGTTCTGAGAAGAGCAGGAATTAAAACAACTAAATCACAGGAAATCCCTGAAGTCCCAGCCCAGAGCACATGCCACTTATACCCTTGTCTTGACTGAAGGAATCTGACCATCACCATCTTGCTCTAAACAGAGGCCACTTTGACTCCCTTCCCCCTGTGATGCTTTTCTGCCTGCTGCAGATGCATCATCGTGGGTCCATGAGGCCCGCTAATCACCCTGCACCCTATAATTCCCAATCGTTGTGCAGCCCTGCTCTTAAGCAGTGCCCAACTTCTTGGAAGCTCTCAAGCCAGATGGACTCCTGGACACTCTCGTCAGTTACCATGTCTCCCGAATTTCTCAAATTCAGGCAGATAGCACTTTCAGTTGCCTTCTAAAAATTATTTAATTCCTTGATTGGTTTAAAGTTCAATATTTTACCTACACATTCATATTTTGTTCAGCGAATGGCCTGAAGTTTGCATGTTTGATATACAGACTCTTTGTAGTCTTAACTTCCTCCAGGCAAGTGGCAAGAGACAGGGGTTCCTTGTGCTCAGGGATTCTGCACTCTCTGCTCCATAGTGTGCATGTATGTCTGTGTGTGTGTACCTCTCTCTTTTTGTCCACCCCAGAGATAAATTCCTATAAGTGGACTCTAAATTATGATAGTGTATCCCAGCTGTGTCTTGTTGTACAAATTGATGGCTACCAGTAGCAAAAGTCAAGCCAGTAAATTATGCCACACTGTGACAAAAAAATGAAACCTCCACCAGTAGTTTTATAAAGACTGCAGAAACTACTTTGCTTGAGCTCAACAATTTCCTTTTCTTTTCTTTCTGGCTCTTTTTTTTTTTTTTTTTCATTTGTTTGTTTGTTTGTGTTTTTTCCAGTACGGGGAATCAAACTCACAACCTCACGCTTGCCAGGCAGGAGCTGTGCCGCTGAGATAAATCCCCAGCCCCTAGTTAAATCCCCAGCCCCTTAGCTCTTTTTGAAATTTCCATGGAAAACTATTTATACAGGTTTCAGAATAACCAAACTTCTTAAAGCCCCATTTTCACTGCCTCTAGAATTGCATTTAAGTCTAAACAAACAAACTTCATTTCTAATATTTACAAATTCAGGCCCAGGGACCAGGAAGAGCATGGGTATAAAAATTTCAGGCCTATGGAAACAAAACATCATGAATTTAATTTTGGGCTCCAACCTGAGAGGATATTTTTATTTAATTGATAGGCTTAAGACATTCCTTGTACATTGCAAATTCTCAGGCAACAATTACAGGGTTAACTTGCTCTTCTTTCTGCTTTCTGCTGGTACTGGAATAATTTTGCCCTTCAAGGTGACTTGGAGAGTCAGTCAGCAGCCTGTCACTTTTAACCATGGAGCAACCTAGCACCCTCCCCAGGTCCCAGCTCTCCTCTCTGTTTTAACTGATGCTTTCAGATAAAGCCTTGAACTCCTATTTCTAAACTTGACACTGGACATGGGTTTTTCTACATAACTAACAGGGCCACCTAGACTGGTCCGTGATAAGAAGCAGGCCAGAGCTGCCTCTTAGTGTGTGTGTGTGTGTGTGTGTGTGTGTTGACCAGGATTGCTGAATTCATGGTGGATTTAATGTATTTGTTCTCCAAGTATATAGGTCTTTAAAGATGAAAAACAACAACAAAAAAAACTGGCTACTTCCAGGCTAAAGTTATTTCTTTTGATAAACTTTTAGTCTCAAGCATGGGACTTTTCCTTTCTTCTTATCCAGCTGCTTGTGATAGGGCGTGCATCCAGAATGAGGTAGCCAGCACTGTGAAGTGTGTGTTATGTGTGTGTTACAACACTTCCTGATGCTCAGAGACTGTGTATTCCCTGTATGACGTCATATAAGATAAACTTTTCCTAGGTGGTACTGTACTGAAGCAAGGCAGATTTAAGTAAATGTTTCTTCATGTCATTTAATGATGTCATCATGACTATTATGGTGAAGAGGGACCTCACATTTTCTCAGTGAAGCTTTATAACGTCCATCTGTTACAATTCTCAGGGTTTCAATGGCTAAGACATCTGTGATTGGTAAGGAAATAAAAGTTGCCTAGTCATGTTGTATATTTCTTTTTTTGAATTGGGGCCATTCTGAAAGACATACTTGGAACCTTCTTCCCCTAGTTAAGTGTCTGTGAATTTGAGATTAGTTGGGTGTGTAGAATAATTTTTAATGGAGGCCAGAATCTAAGACTATCAGAATTTTTCAAACATTAGGAGTGTATCCTTTTTCATCATAAACCACTTTGAGGCAATGTATTTGTTTCTTAGTGTGACTCAGTGTTTCATTCTACAGTAACTTCAGAATGATGACTCATAAAACAAAACACCATCACATGCTTTTTTTATCCATCTGAACTTGAGGCAGTGTACTAAATCAGTGCTCTGAATTTGTCAAAGTCTTGGTCACTCTGGGTGGTGTTATGATTTGGGACCCACAATTATTGTATCAATATATGTTTGAATTCTGAAGAAAAATTGGGAAAAGAAAAAGATTAACTTGAACTCACTGTGGGTATTTGTATCTGCTCACCATTGAGGTTGAGGACATGAAATTTCACCTTGTGCAGATGGCTAAGGAGAAAATGAAGTGGCCCTAGATTGAACTTTTCTGACTTCTCATATTTCCCTGTCTCACCACCTGTGACTAGGCTGCTATGGGCTGCATGGCACAGCATATTGTGTATATCCTCAGGAGTGTATTCAACCTTCTGAGTGTGTATTCTTTTGTGAACTGAGGTGAAGCAGTATTGGGTTAATAATGTCCCTTAGTTATTGCAGGCTGATTAGGTCCACAATTTCCCAAAAGATTGAACAGTAGAGGCTAAATAAAAGAGGCAAATATAATGCTTTTAGGGCTCCAGGAGCATCAAAACCCTCTCACAGAATTTGAGATTCTCTCAGGGCTAAGACCCTTATGTTATATATTTCAAGGTGTTTGACATCAAGACCATAAGATTAAACCAAAAGTTCCCATTGTAATACTGGTTCAACTGATATTCTGTATGTTCAACAACTAAGGTTTGGAGACAAAAGCTAGAAAAATAACTGGGCTAAGAAGGCAGCCAACATTTTGACCTTGCATTTCCAAGGTCAGCAAGGACCCAAGATCCCAGGACCTTCTCTACAGGTCCCTACATCTTGGCTAAGTCCCCCAACTTCTTGAACATGGAGATTGTTGGGCCTCAGAGTCAACCAATTTATGGTGTTCCAAAAGGAAGGTCATCACCTATGGTTATACAGAAAATACATAGTCAAGCAGAACTGTGACCCATCCTGGCAGCTGACACTGACAAGAGCTGTGAGGGTCTGTGAGGGTCCATAGTTCCAAAACTACTGCCCAAGGAGGCTTGACTGACCTTGATTGACAGCATGAGTTTAATACTGATCATTGCATGTTTCACTTCAACTTGGTCTTGAATCCCCACAAAAAGTGCAACCAATACTACACTAAAGTAATGATAATGTAGGCTCAACCTAAAAAGGGGACTCCAACCACTGACCCCTGCTGAAGTTTCCAGCGACAGACAGGTCTAGAAGCCAGCTGGTTACGTTTGCTATTCTACTCCCCTGAGTACAGTGACTGACTGTGGCTCCTTACTTAGTCTGACTTTCCATTCTGATGCTAATGTTTTGATCATATGTGCTTTAATCTCTTGATAAAGTTTGTTTCTTTTCACCTAGACATTGAAAAACTCCCAATGTTTGTGCGAATGAAACCAGTGATAGAAGTGTCTGGGATCCATTGAACCCATGCAGTCTGTCCAAGGTGCACATGTGCCATACTTCATATGATATGCTGTATTTTTATTTCAGATAATCATAATAATGTAACCTGAATTCTACAGGAGAGAAAGACAGAGGCTTCCAGTGCTCACGAGGTTGCTGCAGAATCCAAGAGAAAATTTACAGAATTCATGAAGGCAGAATGATACCTCATTCAACAAGTGTTCAACAGGGCTTTAGTAGAAGATGCCAAAGAGAACCTATATCATGCAGAAGCAAAAGGCACTGCTGGGACAGAAGCCTGAGAAGGACAGAGTGAGCTTTTTTCTCTGTGTGAGCACAAGGGATGATGTGAGGATTGAGCCATTACTGGTGCACACAAGGGACAGAATGGGAACAAGGCTGGATGCCTGTCATGTGGAGAACTAATGCAAAAGTTTGGGTCACACAGCAATTGTTCATGGAATGGCCACACGAGGTATTAGTTTCCACCAGCAAACTAATTAGGAAAGATCTTTCTGACAACTGATTGCCTGAAAGTTGTCTTCCTATGGTGGACAATCCCTGACATGCCTTGGTGGCCTTGGTGGATGATAGGAACACTGATTATGACTTCAGCAAGGGCAAGTTCCTCCCCCAGCATGACACCTATTCCACAGACAAGAGCCTGCAAGTGATCAGCAACTCGAAGGTGTGGCACGCTAAGGTGTACCCAGAGGAGTATCAGTGTCACTGAAGAGGTGTTCTTGACTCTGAAAGAGTTCTGGGAGAAACATTTCAATGTCCTCTGCTGTGTCAAACTCATTGACAAAGTCTGGGGAGTTGTTATGTACCCGACATTAAACTCAGCCTGGAGGAGACAGTGGCCAGAGTGTGTCACTGAATTTGACTTTGCAGGTTCTGAACACGGGTCATAGAGGAGATTGTGTCCGTGGGTAAGAGTGTGGGGATGGATGTCGATGGTGCAGAAGCCGAGGAGCTTGTTCAGGACCATAAGGAGGAGCTGAAGGGGAAGGACTCGCTGACCTCCAGAGTGAGCAGCAGAACGTGCTTTTTGAATGCCATTTCACTGAGGGTGAGGAAGCCAGGGAGGAAGTCAGCAGCAAAGGGATTAAAAACCATTATGGAAAATAGGACGAGTGCCAGGGCCTCTGTAAAAAGCAGCACCCCCACATAACTGCAGTGAAGAGTGTTGAGTCTGATAAATGATAACAAGGTCTTTCATTTCTGGAAGGTTATGGAGTACAGGAAAGAAATCACATTAGGAAGAGTTTTCAACAAAACAGACCATGCAGCGAAGAGACAGAGAAGAGAGGACACACCTGAAGGAGATCTCCCTGATGTCCTTATGAAGGGGGAGTCTCCCTCCAAACAGTAACCTCGGCCCACGTACCTTTTGTCCTCCACTCCAGAATTCACCAAAAGCAAAGTTAACGTTCTCTCTTCATAGTGTACTGCCCTGTACTTTGTTTCGTATTTTGATGGTCAAAAATATACATTGGTTCAGATGGATTAACCTTATTTACACTGAACCTTCTGGGAAAATTTCTTTTTCTTCCTGACCAATTCCATCCATAACCAGAATCATGGAGTGAGTTACACTTGTGAACCGAGGTACCTTTATATCCTACAGCGCATGCAGTGCTGGCATGGCTTAATCTCCAGAGGTAGGTGCTCTGTGCTTTCTGAAGAATTTATCCTGGGCTGTTCAGAAGCCTGTAGCCATTTGCTTTCTTATCTTTCTTAGCTGTGGTCCAGCTGTCAGAAACAGTCCCTGCACACTTCGAAGACCCAGCTTCCTGTTTTATCCTGTGGCATTTAGGGTCCTTCCTTTCAAAACCTTTTCAGATCTACTTCCTGCCTCCCCATACTGAGCATGTACACAAAGGTAGAGAATACATGACACAACGAGATATTTGTGCACTGATTTTTCAAAAGCAGCATTGTTCACAATGTCTAAAATATGGAATCATTCTAAATATATATGGTTCAGATGGATTTACATGTGAAGGAATAAATAAAATATTTTAATATAATACCACAAATGTATTATATTTCTGAGAAGATATACTTGAGAAATTTTCTACAAGTAAGGTTCACTTAAATTTAAGTGTCCTATATAGTTTGGTATTTTCTGTGAATAACATTTCTGTAGATATCGGTGACAAATTTTAAAATCAGCAGAAGTAATGGAACATAAAAAAATACAACGTGTGGTGTAATGTGTGTTCTGAGTTCTTTTTGAGTGTAAGTGTTCTATTTACTATAAAAAACCTAGTATAAAACACAACAATGAGTATTTTAAAATCTGAAGTATTGCTAAATTTGTGTGATACATATTGCGCTCCAAGTTGTCCTGCCTCTAGAGGTGTAAGCATTCTGGCCGGACTCTCAGAGGACGTGATTTCCACAGCCTTATGACCATTTCTCCCCCTTAATTGCCACCTCAGTTATGCAACAGTAAATAAACATTAGCCTTGGACCAGCGCCAAAACTACTGTGGACGTCTACAACTCAAATCACACAGGAATCGCAGAGGGAATAGGTAGTATTGGTTGTGGAAGACAAAGCTATTCTGGGATGCACTCCACCTATAAGAACAGAAGAGCTGTTGCTTATCCATTTTTATTGACACTGTCATTTGTACAGCATAAGAGGAAAATATGTCTGACTCTGTATGCTTATTGGGATATTCCCTGCTCATTTTGTTCTGACTTCCTGGTTTAACAAATTGTGAGGAAAAATGCCCTGCAAATCTGGGTGACATTGATGGGTAAATTATCTAAGGGTTTTTGTTGTGATGTCCTCAAGGAAGAAGGCATTCTAATGTTCTATAGATCAGCTGTGAGGACTGGTCACGAGTTCTGCAATTAATTTGTTGCAAGGGCCCAGAGGACAAGAGGATGACCTGATGCTCCTAGATATGTCTGTGTGTCAAGATCACCCATGCTTACTTTAAAATTAAAGGTAGAGTAGAGGGATAAAAAATTTAAAATATTTTTTTGAACATTGATATCTATGAAATTGAAGAAGTAGCCTCCAATCATTATTGGATGATTATTTTATTTGTGAACAAAGAAGGAACAAGCTATCCAGCCACTAACTGAGCAGGTGTGCACCTAACCCCCAGTGAATTAGTCAGGAAAGAGCACCCTGGACTTCCTATTACATCCTGCCCAAAACACTTCCAACTAACACCAAGCAGGAGCTTTAGCACCCCAGGGAGGCCCTCGTTCTTGCATCTCCTTAGACTTTCCACCTGTGGTTTAGCACTTTCAGATTCATTTGAGATATCCACAACACTCATGGTTAATTATAGAATTTTTTTTGTTACTTGTACCTCCTATGCCTATGACATATGTTAGTTAATTTATAAATTCCATCCCCATGCCTACACTTTCTAACTGGATCATCTAAGGCAAACAAGATGCCAGAACATTTCCTCCTCCTGAAAAAGCAACACACTTCATTTCATTACATTTTTGTCACTCTGAATTGTCTTTTGCAGCAAGCATAGCTCTGTTTTCTCTGTGTAGATATCGTAAGATGGAGAGCTACATCATGATTATTCAGTAGCATTTTGGTGAACTCTAATTTAAAAAGAATCAAGCCAAACAGAGTAAGTATGAGAAGAAAACCTGAACCGGAGGCTGTCTGTGAAGGAGCAGCCAGTGATATCTATTCCTATGAAGAAGTGACAGGACCACGATGTTAATCAACATGAGGAACTTCACAGAGTTCCTGCTGACAGGATTCTCTGGTGACTGGGTGCTGCAGAAGGTGTACGCCACGCTCTTCTCCCTGGTTTACCTTGCAGCTCTGACGGGGAACCTCCTCATTATCGCCCTCACCACCATCGACCAGCACCTCCAATCTCCCTTGTACTTCTTCCTGAAGAACCTGTCCTTCATCGATATCTGCTACATCTCTGTCACTGTCCCCAGGTCCATCGGGAACTGTCTGATGAACGTCTACTCTATCTCCTTCCTGGGCTGTGCCTTGCAGGTCTTCCTTTTGTTTGTCTTTGGTGGCACAGAGTATGCCCTCCTTCTGGTGATGTCCTATGACCGCTATGCTGCCATCTGCCACCCTCTGCACTACGAGGCTGTCATGAATAGGGGCAGCTGCACGCGGATGGTGGCGGCCTCCTGGCTGGCCGGGTGCTTCTACGGAACCGTTCATGTGGCAGGTACATTCTCTATCCATTTCTGTGAGGACAACCAGGTGCACCAGTTCTTCTGTGAGGCCCCATTACTTCTAAACCTTTCCTGTCCTGGGGAGCCCATTCTTGAATATAAGCTGATCATTGCTAGCTGTGTGTTTCTGTTCATGTGTTTTATCGTGATGCTTGTGTCTTATGTTCACATTTTCTCTGCTGTTCTGAAAATCCCATCTTCAAAGGGCAGAGTGAAAACTCTTTCCACCTGCCTGCCCCACATTGCCGTGGTGATGCTGTTCCTCTTTTCTGGGTCCGTTACATATTTAGCTGAAAATTTTATAACTTCATCATCCCTGAAAGTATTGACATCGGTGTTTTACACGGTCTTACCCCCTACGGTGAATCCTGTCATCTACAGCCTGAGAAACCAGGATCTGCAGGCTGCCTTGGGGAACATGATAGCTGGGAAAATGTTAGGCTTTTCATTTCAGCTAAGATGTAAAGTTTAATTGGGTTTATAATTTGGATGCTGATAATTATCAGTCTATTCCCTCTTGGTACTCCACAAAATTGTGTAATTTGGTGTACACAAAGTACAAGGTCATTGTTATGTCTTTTACTCTTTAAGATGAAAAGGAAGAAAGATTAATCTTTCTGTGGAATGAGGTAGTATGTTGTAAGTTTTCATTTTGGTGGTCTCTTTCCACTATGATTTTGTATCATGAGGATTTCTATCAAATTCTGGATGATTTATGTTCTCTAATAACATTTTGAAATATAGTGTTAATTTACAATATTTTCAAGGTGTTTGCAAAAAAGAAAACATTTCTTTTTCACTCTAGGAAACATACTCTATATTTAAAGCGTCTGTACTGACAGGGACATTTCCTAGATCTTATTATTTGCATTTAAATGGTCTGTTTTCTTTTGTGGTACTGGGAATGGAACTCATGACCTTAGGCTTGCAAGGCAGGCACTGTGCCACTGAGGTACATCCCTGGCCCTAAAGTCTGTTCTTAACCATGTTATACCTATTGGTGAATTTGGAACAGAGCAGTCCGAGGCCTGGGAACTGAGACCTCTAGAGATCACTATGATGATGCTCAGGCTCCTGTCCAGATTGCAGGGATCTCAGACACAAGGCTTTTCCTTCCATGGGAGCAGACAGTATTGAAGGGGTCTTCACCTGTCTTTTACATTCCCTTTCTCTTTGTCTTTGCTCCATGCTTCTATATTCCTCTTGAAATTTTTTTTTATATCAAATACTCTTCCATTTCTGTCTTTGCTGTCTTTTTTTGCCTTCTCTGCATCTTCTTAAAAATACACTTTTGCTTTTTCTTCATCCATTCATTCATAGCCCTGTTCATTTCCATTGTTATTCCAAAGCCCCGCCCACTCAGGGCACCCCGCTGCCCACCCATAAAATACAGCAGCCATCACTTCCGGTGGGCCTGGGTGTAGACAGCACCAGTGTGAATCTGTGTCTCCTGGTGCTGTGTTTGGCTGTGTGACTTGGCTCCAGAGGGGGGACTTGACCCGCACATGTCCATTGTTCATGTACCACCTCTGTTCCTTTATTTTCCCTACCTACATCTGTAACCTTAATGGAATACCTTAGAAATTCAGTGCATCTGTTGAGTTTTCTAAGGAGACCTCGGGCAGTTTCCCTCAGGACAAACACTGAGACTTCTTATTCCTTTCTCAGTATCGGTAGTGCATCCGTGTCATTATGTAATCTTTACAAATATGTCATTAACGTGGAAAAGCACAACTCTGATACAAAATGCAATCATAATGGCTTAACTAAACTATTTTATATTTTCATTGTTATGTGCATGGGTATATATGGATATGTATATATTTATACATCTTTTCAATAAAATTTATCAATAGATTTATCTTAAGGTCATTTGATAATATTGTAGTTTAATGACACATTACACTTCTATAACTTGGTATTATAAAAGTATATCTTTTTAAGGTTATTGCTATTTGAAATGAATGTGCAGGGGGCTGGGGATTTAGCTCAAAGAAGTAAAAAAGATTTCAAATTCATAGAGCATGCTATCTAAAATACTACATTTTAAGTAGATAAAATGTGTGAAAAATAGTTGATGTAGCATCTCAATTTGAGAAAAGAAACCACTGAACAGAAACAGTCTTTCATAGATTTGTGAGTTGTATTTAAACAATGAAAATTTCCAAAGGCTGTTGTTCATATACTAAGATATTTTCAGTAAATTATATTGGGCAAAAGGAAGAAATTATGAAAATGAACACTATGCCAATTATTTAACTTAGCAATGAGAAGCAGCAATTTACTGGCAGAGCCCAATAGCAGCACTTAGATGATGGAAGAAATAACCCTTGTAGGTGAACACAGGTCCATCACAAGTTTCCAATCAGAAGTGGAGAGAGCAAGAGTGAGGAGAGCCTGAGATATCAAAGCAACACCCGCAGTGCCAGTCAGAACTCAGTGGAAGTGCTGAAGGACAAAGTGGAGGGAGACAAAGCACAGGTGATGGACTTATGACTGTGAACATTGCAAAGTTGAAGAAAAACATTAATCTAAGACTCCAAAAAGCTTAGAACGTGTTAGAAAATCTCTAAATAGTAGAGAATAATTGGTAGAGCAGCTCAACCTTGGAGAGTTGAGGAAAAAGCTGAGTTCCTTGGGTTTTCTCAGTCCTCTCATAAACCAGGTGGAACATCTCAGAAGCCACTAACCTGCGGAAACCATGGGCGCAGACACAATGTTCGTACTGTTTTCTTTATTCAGGCTCATGATGTCTACACACAGGAAGAGTTGGACTTCCTCTTTTCCAATGGGGATGACCTCTTTCTCTTGTCTGTCAAATTGACCTGACTAGGATTTCTAGTAGTACGACGAATGAAAGTGGTAAAAGAGACATATCTTTCTGATTGTACATCTTTGAAGAAAAGTTTTAAATTATTTTTTATCTCCAGTATGATGTAAGCTGTAGGTCTGACATATATATGACTTTTAGGGTGCTGAAATATTCCTTCCTTAGGGTGCTGAGATATTTTCATTCTATGCCTTATGTAATGTACTAAGAGCGTGTTTTTAATTATAAAAACAAGCTGAATTTATTGAAATGATCTTATACCATTTTTAGTTCTTCTACTCTGAAACTTAAAATTTATATATTTGTGTACATCCTACTCTCCCTGGAAAGAAATCTCACATTAATGGGCTAAGTAATCAGGTTTGTACTCCTCAGTATTTCAAGTGTGCTTTCTCTAATATTCAACCTGGCATGTGAGACCACAAAGACAGGAAAATCACACATATTATTCAGGACACGAGGCCCTCATGTTCGCCCAGCTCCTGTCTACCATTTTACTATGCTACTGAAATTGCTTTCCTCCTCCTGTGTTAAGAATTTTGCATCAGTTGTCCCTAAGTTCTTCTTGCTGTGTCCGTGGTTGGTTGAGATGTCAGAATGCTGTCCGTTTTGTAGAATAAGTTAGGATAAATTCTCTCTTATTAAATATCTTGGAATAGTGGAGAGGAATTGAGGTATACTCTTATGGATCATCTTAAATGAGTCATCTTAAACACTGATTTAATCATATTTCATTGTATTGGCCTGTTTAGGTTTTCTATTTTTTCTTTGAAACTGTTAGGTTTGGAATTTATCTACTTTTTAGGGTTTTTAATTCATTAAGACTGTATTTTTTCCTCCTTGAATCTTTGATTCTTTTATTCTGCAAAATAAATTGTAATTCCTCATCTTTCATGTCTGATTTTTCTTAACTGTGTTCTTTTCTTGCTCTAGCAAACTTGTCAGCTATATTTTCAAAACAGTAAGCTCTACTTTATTATATTTAAAAAACTCTATTGTAATTATTTTGGTTATTATTTTTTCATTTGATTAATTTTGGGTGAAATTTTTTCTTGTTTTATTACATCCTTGATTATAATGCTAGATTTATTGGATATGTGTTTTAATTATCTTCTAAGTATATTTTATTACACCATAAAAGATTTATAGTTTATTAGGTTTTAACATGGTTTGTTTTTCACATGCATACAACATAGTTTGATCGTATTCATCGCCTATTGACTTATTTCTCTATTCTCCCCCTATTTTCTACTATAATTTCCATCCTGTATTCATGTCATTTTTGTGTAGACTCAACATATTATGTAAAGTATATGATATTTGCATTTCATAATCTAGTTTATTTTGCTTAATGTGAAGACATACACATGCATCCATTATCCTACTCATAATTTTATTTTTTTCTTTTAGGCGAGTAATACTATATATTTTTGAGTGTATATACGGATATATATTTAAATATCCATGTGTCAGCTGACAGGCAGCGAGGCTAATCCTGTAAAGTACACCACAATGCACGTGTGAGAGGGAATCCTATGTTACACTGACTTATTTCCTTTCAGTGAACACACATGAATGGTGTATCTGAGTCGTATGACATTTCTGCTTTTTAGGTTGTGGAAGAGTCTTCCTGCTGTTGTCCATCCGGGTTTAATCACTTCCTGTTCCTACCAGAAGGGGAAAAGTTTCTCCTTTCCCCTGAATCCTCACCAGCATTTATTGGTGTTTTGATGCTGCCCATTCTGACTGGGGTGAAATGGAATCTAACTGTAGTTTTCATTATCGTTGTGCCAATGGCTAAAGATGGTGACCATTTTCAAATATAATTATTGACCATTCATGTTTCTTCTTTTGAATTATACTTGTCTAATTCATATTTGCCCTTGCATTGCTTGGATTACTTTATCTTTTGGAGTTAAAATGTTTAAGTTTCCTGTATACTCTGCTTAGTGCTTTTGTCTGAACAACAACTGATAACGATATTTTCCCATCCTCTGTTTCTTTTTTTTTCAATTTTTTTCCAGTACCGGGAATCGAATTCACGACCTTGCACTTGCCAGGCAGGCGCTGTGCCGCTGAGCTAAATCCCCAGCCCGCATCCTCTGGATTGTCTCCTCACACTGTGAATTCTTTGTGATACTTTCCTTTACTGTGAAGATGACTTTCAATCTGACACTCTCATTCATTCGCCTTTACCACATTTCCTGCGCTTTTGGGGTCTCACTCAGGAAGTCTCAGATGTCAGATGTTTCCCTACGGCTTCTTCCAGCACTTTCAAAGCTTCCGGAGTTATGCATACGTGTTTTTCCATTACGGACTGATTTGTGTACAACAAGGGCGATAGAGATCTCGTTTTAGTCTTCTGAGTAGTTTCCCTCACGCATTTGTTCAATCAGAAGCTTTTTTTAAACAAGATTTTTGTCTTTCATGTGGAGAATAAGGCGGCTATAGAGACAGGGTTTTATTGCTGTTTCCTGTATCCTGTTCCATTGACCTATGTGTCTGTTTTTGTGCCAGTTCAATCCTGCTTTTGTTTCCATGACTTTGTAGTATGTTTGAAATAAGAAATTGTAATTTATTCAACATCGCATTTTAGCCCAGCATTGCTTTGGCTATTCTGGGGCTTTTGGATTTTCGTGTGA